AGTAGTAGTAGTAGTAGTAGTAGTAGTAGTAGTAGTAGTAGTAGTAGAAGATGTACAGCTAGGTTTCGGGTCCTAGGAGCCCCTTCACTGAAAATGTCCTTTTCTCATCAAAACTACTACTGTAGGTAAACTTGAAAACATCAACATGAAGGAAATTGAATGTCCCTGTTTTTGTATATGTCCTTTCAACCATACTTCAAAATAATGTTTCTCAAGGAAACCACACAGGTGAGGGAATGAGCTGGCATGGGGACCTAGGAAGCTGGGTGTCTTGAGAGGTTTTTTGGATGCATTGGCATATAAGGCATATAGTGAGAACCAAAGAAAAAGAACCATTAAACCGAATTCAACAAAACTGCATCTCGGAATCGGTCGGGCTGCTTTCTCCCTCAAGCGCGTTCTTTTTGGACACCCGGGGGTCTGAGCCCGTTCCAGGCCGAGCGAGCGATCTCGTCCCCGGTCGATCCACGGTCGATCTGGTTGTTCATGAAGCAACAGAGGTTGAAGGACTCGAACTATCCTATCCCAGTTCGGTACCCCAGGTTCAGGTCCCAGTTCAGGTCACTTCACCTCTGGAAGATCAACCACCCCGAGTTGATGTGGAACCATCCGAAGGGTTCACCAGCTTTTCACTAGTAGGATGACGTTGAGAACGCACAGAGTTTTGCAATATGCCATGCCATTCAGTATCATGGGGAGGGTTTGCCAATATCTGAGGCTTTCTCCAATTCTAGCCGCACAATGAAGGAATATGAACAAAACACACACAACATGTTTTTTTGTTGTACATACAACCAAAGCAAACCAAAGTCGTTCAACTACAACAAACATGTATTGTGTCTGATGCCTGTATTTTGTAAGAGATCATCCTGTTCCATTGTGTTGCTCGGAAACCAACACAACGACCAATCACAGTCGGCAGGGACCTCGGCAGGTCGGCAGGTGTTCAAAGATCGGGAGGTCGGGAGCGTCCAGATCCCCAAGGATCGCACCTCCCCGAGGTCCAGGGCTCAAAGAAGATGGCCTTAGAGTCGAGGGAGAGGTGCGTCTTGTGCCGGGTGGCTCGATCTGCGGTCTTGTGGCGAAGGCAGGGAACAGAAATGCTCCAACATATATAACTGATGTGAGCCATTCAATATTCAAACATAAACGTGTGTTTGCAATATACTATTGGTCATATAATATAACATAATATAATGTATAGTATATATAATATAGTATAACACTATATTGTAGCATAATGTAATCACTATATAGTCATCACTATAGTCATCCATATGGCTGCTAGCTGCTACACTGCGCAAAGGTCGCACAAGAAAAAATGGACACGTCAAATACGCAACATGTTCTGACCCGAACCCAAAACACAATGAACAACAAATGATGCACACAATTGGTTCAGAAACCACTCTTTATGGCCAAACGGTGTTTCTGTCATTGTTGGAAATGTACGGAATTCAAAGGCATTCCCCACAAAACAGACTTGCTGAGTATTTCGGATTTACCAAACTGGTTTCTGCTTGGTGCCCGTAGTTGCCTCCCCATCCATGCACGATGCAATCGAGCGACGCAGGAGACGCGGGAGAGGTGCCTCGTTTGCTGGGCCTCGTCTGGCTGCGCGCCGCGGGGGGGTGACAAATATCGAAATCGTTAGGATTCTGATTCAGTTCAGGGTATCTGGTTGAGGGCCTAGTACCGCCAGGCTTCAAACAAATGTGCAAATGCACACACACATGGACCAAAAGTAGAGAAGCGAGAGGCGCATGGACATGGACGCCGATTTGGCTACCGATCCTGTCAGGCCCCCTTCGGTGTGGTGCCGGCATACCCCTCAAAAAGCCTCGACCAGGTCTGGTGGAGTCACTGTGAATCGAATCATACGCGGTCCAGCGGTCTTCACACATTTCCTGGAACGAGAGTCCAATGCGGTCCGGTCTCCGTCTCAGCGGAATAGGACGCACAAATGGAGCGTTCATCGAAGCAACGGTCGAAACGTACGAGCTGTGACGAGCTGGGACGTTTGGACGTTGTGCAGCAAACCCACACTACGATTCACCCATTCAGGAGCAGCTGGTTCCAAACACAAGGAAAGGACGAACTTGCCATGTCTTAGCCTGCAGGATTTCTCCGCCTCGAACCTCCTCCAGGTCATTCCCTTGACGGTGGCTTTTGGGAGTGTAATGACTGTGCTGCAGTGTTCTCGCCGGAAGTTGACAAAACCTAGATGCATCGCTTGGCAAGTGTGTCGTCCGATGCAGATTCCCTGGGGAGCAATGCTCTGAGGATAGTGCCAAGCCCGTGTCAAACTCTCTCCCTCGCAACGATTCCAGCCCAATTTTGCCAAAGGTGTATAATTAATGTGCTGTGTATAGCCAAAAAAGGGCAAAGTCTTCGACGTGAACAACACGCAAAGACTGGCAGGTGAGATTTGCAGTAGCCGCCTTTGGTTTCCATCCACATCTTTGACAACACATTTGACCAAAATTGCAGTACCAGCACTGCCGTGTCCACCGCCCTCATCTGCAGGGTTGTAGACTCTAGACGGGCACAAGAACTTAAAAGATGCGATGCAACAATTCCTATAGCTCTGCCGCACACACACACACACACCCTACGCTCATGAAATTACGGCAGTGGTCCAGTGCTCAAATCCAACACGTGGCACATCGTGACACAGTGCACATCGTGGCACTAGACCAGACCTGAGACAGGATCCCAAACATGCATGTATCCTGTGAAACCAAGCACCTGACATCAATGCTGAACCACCACCCACCATGGCCAAAGCCACTCACCACCCACCATGCTTTCACGTGCGCAGGCCCGTCTAGGGTAGCAGCTCTATAGGGATTAGACTCAGACCTCTGCTTGTCAGTGATCGTGACCTCTTCTGATTTGCACAAGGCTGCCCTGCCCTTAGAAGCGATGCCCAAACCGCCTAAAGGTACATGCATCACCCTGCTGTGAGGCTCTCCGAACATCAGAACTCCGCACCCACTCGGACGTGGTGTAAGAAGCCTCATCTTGTGGAGGATCCGTTTGTATCGGGATATACTTCAAAACCACTTGGGGGTCTCTGACATGGTTCACCCAAAAAAGTCTTCCATGGCCCATGGAGTACTGGGGTCTTGCGAAGTAGGTCCTTGGGACAATGCAATGTGGGTCAACATTGCTCAGCTCATAAGACGACCACAGTGTGGTTCTATGATCAAATATGATATCTGAAACAATACTGCACATGCTCTTTCCGACATATAATTCATATAACTTGCAATAGTTGGAAGCACGGGTTTAACTTAATCTACTGAACTGAGACTATCCAATAGTTTCTCTACACAATGGTCCATGAACAACAGTCTGGTTCTACTCTCATGTGCTTGAAAAGCTGCGTGGGACACCATACGACACAATACCATGGGAATCCGGACAAATCTGGTCGGTCAGGCCTCGCACCAGGACGGAACCAAAAACACGTGGAAAACACAACACTGAAACAAAAAAAAACATGAAAGTAACGGCATGGAGCTATATAAATCAATTATTTTGCTGTTTTGCTGCACATTTAAAAACTAACACACAACAAATGATGTTTAAACTAGTGCTTGGAAATTGATAACTCTTGTTGCTCAGGCCAAGATGGGGGTGAAGCGCATGCATTCCGAAAGCTTCTCTTCTGTGGCCAAGTGGTGTGTTCCTTCGCAACTTCGCTCATCATTGAAATAGCAGCTTTAAAGAGATGTACTGTCACTGCATTGTCCTCCTCGACCATGCACCTATAGATCATCCACCTAGATCCACAAAAGCAGGTTGGCCCTGTGGCAGCCCTGTTTTCACGCTTGGGTATCAACTTCCACAAATCACTGGACGCTGAAACCAACAGATTCCTTAGTCGGAGTCTATCTTCTGGGGCTTCTGGCCAAAGCCACTCTGGAAAACGCGAGCCATCCACGCACAAACGCTTCGGCCTGCGCCCCAGCTCCAGTTGCACGGCCAAATCCCGCACCTCGACTTCTGCACGGCACGGCCCGCTGGCCAGGTCTGGTGGATTGTGGATTGTGTATTGAACGCTGGAATCCAGCTTTCTCGTCTGAGAAAGTGATGAACTGGGTGGGTTAGGGGACCTGTTTTGGCTTGGGGCGATTGACGCATCCTGCAAACGCACCGCTCCGACAGTCCTGATAAAGAGACCCTCGAGGGACCCTCTGTGCACTTCGATGGGTCATTTGTGGAGGCGCTGCATCACTAAAAGATTGCTAATGAAGCAAGTACAAAGTGTTTCTTATGTGTTTCTTTCGATGTCATAACTCATCCCCCAGTCTTTTGCTTTGCAGGGAGAATCCAATGAACTCCCAAGCAAAGTACAAAATGAGACATAACATATGACACAAACATCGTAACAGTGTTGGCCCGATTTCTGGCTCCACTCGAAATTCTGAAGGTCTGAAGCCGAAAAAAGAAAACTCACCAAACTGAGCCCTGGAATACCTTCGGTGACCGGAAACCAGGAATTTCTAAGAAAGGAACTCTTCAAGAACTCAGTGCTTTGGGGGGGGGGCTTGTTGGACCAACCCCCAAAAGGCCACGAAACACCCGTTTGGAAAACCCCAGGTGACGGCTGACCGGTCTGGTCTTCGGACAGCACCCAAACATGGACATGAGAACAAGCCAGGACGTTCATGTAGACTCTTGACGACCATAGACCCCCCCAATTGAAATGAATTGAACATCCTCTTCAAAGGGAGGGTTTACGGTCCTCAAGAGTCTTACTAAATCAAGGATGGTCCAGGACGTGCTCCAGGTCCTACGTCTTCCAACAGCGCTGGTCCGATGTCCGTCATACGTCCCAGCGCTT